AATTATTTAATTATATTATTTACACCACGGGGTTGGGTAAATAATATAGTTAATAATTAAGGTTGTCGTTGCACTTAAACAACTAGTCTCGTTTTGGCCATCACTGGGAAATGTTGACTAGTTACTTATTTTAGATGACTTGTGTTGGGTCCTAAAATATTTATCCACAACTTCTCACAATCTATCTACGAATAAAATTAGCAATTATTTCTTTCAATTAAACATTGAACAATTAGTTACCAATTTCTACCCCTACTTGCTATTGGTTGAACTTTGTGTTGATAAAAATCTCTCATCTCAATCACTTTTATTTTATTACTTTTCCAAGCAACAAAAAAAATCAAAATAAACGCACTCCCAACTTTAATCCTTAGTTTGTGCTTAATTATTTTATTTCCCGCTTCTCTGTGGTTCGACACCCTACTTCCTTGGGTAAAAAAAAATAGTTGCGTGCCCATTATATGCTACACACCAATAAGGAAACTTAATTATAACTTTCCAAATTTGCCCTTCAAAGTTAAAATAGCGTATGCCGCTAACGACTTCATTCAAAGGTTTCCCTCTTCCGCGGCATGTCAGCTCTGTTTTCCGCGTCATTCCTCAGATGTAGTTGAATTCAACAAATTGCCGTCGAATCTCTACCAGCATAAACTCTACCAATTTCTGGGCGAATTCCACATATAGACTCACAATTGTTCTCCTCTTTGACATTGAACTTCAAAATTCTATAAGTAATATTCAAACAAAGCTTCCAAACTCTTACAATTTGATGTTGTTCTTAGTTTTGTTGTTATCGTCTAAGAATCTGAGTCTGTTCAGTAACAATTAATTTGATTAAATTAATTGATTTTATTGATGTCAATAAATTAGGTTAAATCAACAGAGTTTGAAGAATCTCCTAATTTACTGAATTTAAAGTTAGGGTAGAAGTTAGTTGATAAATCCTAAGCATGAATCTGGAGTAGGCAAACAAGCTTTAGTGCAAATGACATCACTGAATAACAGAAGGGCTAAAGCAAACAATCGCAGTAAAGCATCAAAGCAAACCTATATGTCGCCGCGTTTAGAGTTTTAAGTTGCTGCATTTGGAGCCTTAATATGGCCTTTAAGTTGCTGCAATTGCTGCTTAAACTTGCTGTCCATTTATAGGCTTAATATGCCCTTAAACAAGTTGCATATTCAGGTAAAAAATTCTGCATTTGGACCCTTTATATGGGCTTGAAGTTGCTGCATTTACAGCTTAAAATCTGACATATACCTTCCTGCAATTATTGCTTAAACTTGTTGTGCATTTATAAGCTAAACTTTCCTTACACTTTCTTGTTGTGCAGCCTATTGGTTCTCAAACACCAACTCGTTAGCCTAAAAAGAAGTGTTTACCTTCAACCGAAGAATTTTGTTCTCAGCTACGGAAACAATGTTCATGGTGTAAAAAGGAAGGCACAACAAGAATTATTATCGTGATCTTATTCCAGCCCGTAGTTCTTAAAACACGAAATGTCCTATCACTTTCGTTTCATCCAATGAGAGTTGCGGGGATTTTAGTTTTTTCCCCGCACTTTTAAATTGTCATGGTTTATTGGCAGTGAAGTTTTATATTAGTTGCCATGGTTTTTGGCATTGGATATTATTTTGTCATGTTATTTTGTCATTCAAACTCATGTTTATTGAATAATATATGTTTCAGATCCAGCACACATCATATTTGAAATTATTGTCTTTTTACTGTCTAATTACTGACTGCCTGTGTTGTACATATTTACTGCCCACTCCAAAACGCACTTAACATACCCGCTTTATCTACTTAGCATACTTGCCGTTTCTTCCCTTATATGCAAGACTGCAACTAAAATTTCTAATTAATATGCTCATATTTAATGCACGAAATGTGTAATAGTTATTTACGAGAAATGTTTTGAGTTTTTATGTCCGCATATAACAACAATATGCTCATATTTATTTCACGGGTCTTGTATCTAGAGTTTATTTAACCAGATTATCAAACTTCATTGTTACTTTATAAGCTTTTACATGTAGTTGTAACTGACTTATGTACTTATTACTTTAGTTGTAATCATTTAATGTCTACACTTGTTGTATTGATGACCTACTATTGACTACTTACTCACTTCATTCCATGTTTATATCAGAGTTTACAGTGATCTTATCATGAAATAAAAAGTAAAAACGAACACTCATTTCTTTTGAAACAAAAAAGAGGATATAGTATATTGTCATATTTCAAAACAGAATGTAACTAATATATAATCACAATACTTAATGACCAAAAGAAAAAAGTTTTACATGTATTTTTCTTTCCAACAATATAACTATTACATTGCATCTTAGACCACATATTACTTTTGTATTACAGACTATCTTAATCCACCCGCTTCCTTCGTTTTTGCATTCAGCAGTAGCTTTCTTGTCATTTCTACTTCCCGTACTTATCCATGTCTTCCTTCGAAACTTCATTTACTTCTTTATCCAGCATTAGATACTCAACGAACTTTATGACATGTATACAACAATTTTCCCTGCAAAATCATGTCTTTTAATATAAAATGCAAACATACATAATATATTAATATTTGTGAATAATATTAAATATCATCCCAACATGGCCACATAGCTATCATCTTGTTGTGGACAGTTATGCACCATATCGATACGAATTTTGTCTTAGGATGCTTGTCATAAACACCTAACTTCTCCATCACTTTTAATAAGAAAATCTCCAAGCAAGGCATGAAAGACCTAATGCACTTATTGTCTGTTTACGGACTACTTAATGTCTATGTATTGTCTAGTGTTTGCAAGTTTGGTTTTGGATCTGGTTTCTTCAAAAGTTTTGCAGAACACATGGTGGCTTTGTTAAAATTATGAAATAGAAGTTCAAAATTGGCAAAATCAATGTCCAAAATCAGAAAAGAAGAAGAAGGAGAAGGAGAAGGAGAAGGAGAAGGAGAAGGAGAAGGAGAAGGAGAAGGAGAAGGAGAAGGAGAAGGAGAAGGAGAAGGAGAAGGAGAAGGAGAAGGAGAAGGAGAAGGAGAAGGAGAAGGAGAAGGAGAAGGAGAAGGAGAAGAAGAAGAAGAAGAAGAAGAAGAAGAAACCTCTGGCGGCGGCGGCCGATGGAGCTGGTGCGTCGTCGATCGATGGAGTTGGTGCGTCCGATGGATTGCGGTGATGGCTCAGTCGATCGATCTGAAATCGAGTTTGTGCGCAGAGGAATCGAAGGAATTGATCTGAAGTGTGAGTATGGCATCGATGGAGTTTGTTTGTGCGCAGGGGGATTTTAAAAGGAAGGGCAATTTGGTCAAAGCAGGTGTACTTAAGTCTTAGGCTAATATGTAGTCTTAATTTTGGAAAATTAGTATGTTTAGGTCCTACTTGTTGAAATCTCCCTTGATTTTGGAAGGATGGAACCAAAATCTAAGAAATTAAGGCGAATAAAAGTTACACCTACGGAATTGTCAACCTGCCCAAAACTGAAAATGCAAATAATGTAAAATCAAGTATCAATATGTTTATATGTGCTAAGAAACAAAAACATTTGTTCATGCAACCATGTTTATGTCATTTGCTGTGGCACGACTCAAACTCCATCCAATGGTGTGACCTGGAACTTTTGCTCACATCCAATGTTATACGTAGTACTCCCCCGTCTCGCTAAGATTGTCTCATTTTACATTTTCGGGAAGTCCCACTAAGATTGTTCATACCAAATTTGGTAAAATTTGTATGACTCTAAATTATTCTTACTTTATTCTTACTTTATCAATTTAATATGAACTACACAAACTCACTTTTCTTAATAACCGTGCCTCTTTCTCATGTCTCAATCTTATTGGGACGGAGGTAGTAATTCTTTTAGTTTTTTGATGAAAAATTCTAGTCCACTAGCACAACAATTATAATCCTTTAGTATTAGTTGCTAGTAGTTAGTATAATAGTAGGCCTAGTACGAATAATGGTACGATTAAATAATAGAATTTAGAAAAACTCACTTCCAAGAAAAGCTTTTGCTCAGACATCAAACTACTCTAGGAATCAATGATACATTCATATTGAATATCAGTAGAAGTGAACATCACGAGTTCGCTTTTGATGGGAACTCAAAATACTAAAGGATCTGGAAAGGTAAGTGCAGGAGGAAGAAACAAGGATTGTCACAGGAATGAAAAGTGAAAAAGCAAGGTAGATATATAGTTACTTTGTCATTTCAATTCTAGAAGTGTTGATTATAAATTAATAATCTAAATAAAGAGGTGTTGATGTAATTAGTTCTTCAACAAGAACTAATCCATCTGTTTTATACTTCCTCCGTTCCTTTTTAATTGCAACAGTCAACATTTCACGTTTGCCAACGCACAAGTTTGACCATTAATATCTTTCATTCCTTATTAGTAAAAAAAATTAAAAAAATCATATATTGAAAATTTAGAATAAGAAGAATTTAACAATATTTTTTAAAATTTTAATTAATTATATATCAATTAATAAAATGTAGTCAAAGTAGAACATGTGAATAGTGAAAAAAGTCTAATGTTGCAATTAAAAGAGAATGGAGATAGTATGTTTATTTATTTATTGCATATATGTATATTTACCGTGTTTCTTCCTCCTCTTTATATTCACTCTGAGCTCACAGGTTATGTTGAAAATTGAAAAAACAAAAAGTTTTTTTCTAAATTTATAGGGAATCAGGGGCCTCTACTTGCTTTGGCCGGCAAGGAGGGTGCCTGGTCATTTTCAACTTTCAGATGAAAAAATTAAAGGTTGAAGATGAAGGGGTCCACTTCATTCATATATCTCAAGACCATGGATTAAATCTCTACCCTCCATTGCACTAAGGCACTCTACCTTAAGGCCGAGAATCCAAATCCATTTATGGGTAGTATGAAAAAGTGACTGTTGTACATTGACTGTCCTTATTGTCGTGAGAAAGAGTGGTTTTACATTTGTGGAAATATATGGAATAATTACACGTTGCCTGATACATCCAGTTTCAAAAAACAATTCAAGGAGTATTATTATTAATCTGTAACGTAAGAATCGAACCCAAGGATTACATTTTACTCATCCAGCAACAGAGCCACTTGAGTTCATTCACATGTTGCCATACAAGGAGACAATACATAAGAGAGACAAAATAGCAGTGTATACACATCAACTACTTTATGTATACTCCTCCCAAGTCGATCTTTACCAAAGTGTACTTTGACATGCACCTACTTCCTAGGTCTCAACTGCAACAAGTCAAAAAGTGGTTTTGGTTTGAGAAGAAGAGAATAGAGTATTATTAGTTCATAACAATAATTATGTTATGAACTACTATTATTTGAGAATAATTAAAATGAAAATGTTCCAAATCGAACTCAGACACGGACAAAATGCAGATATAGGAGTAACTATCTATGCATTTTGTCCGCGTTTTAGTTATATTTAAAGAATTCTCTTTAAAATAAACCTGACTGCTATGACCACATTTCTTCTTCCGGCAATTCGTGGCTCTTGGGGGTAGACGAGCGTAACATCTTCAAAGAGAAAGACATAATATGACCAAATAATACACAAATAAGTTGATTCAAGGAAATAGAAGAGATAATGGGCAAGAAAATCATGTTGAGGACAAATAAAATTAAGAAGAAGAAGATGAGGCATACTTGCAGCAAATCATCTTGTCCAGATTGTGTTTGTAAGCCAAAGCCTTCAGTGATGGCTCCACTTTGTAAACGGCCCAGCCCCAACATCGCCTATTAATGATTCGGCGTCCTCCCCCTCTCAGGCTCAGCACAAGATGAAGCGTTGCTTCTGCAGCAACACAACAAGGGCAAATCTCATGCTCCGTATATAAATAAGATCAGATCACCATTGTGTTTTCTCGAAGCTAATTAAAACACTTCAATTCTAATCCATTTATACACATATATATATCATGTATATATAACTCTTATTTGTAGTAATTTATTTTCAAGTAACAGTGTAACACATACTTCTTTTTTTGAACAAGTAACACATACTTTTTTAGTTCTTCTTTGTTGCAATATTTGCATCTATAGTAATTTTTAAATCATTAATACATTAACTTCGAAATTAGTAGAAAATAACAAATCAATTAACACGCATTTGAATGAAAATGAACATGCAGAGCAATTTGAGTTCTATCTATCTATAATTGAACAACCTTTTTCGATGTTGTAGTGAGCCAAGGTTCTTCCATCTTCAAGTTGTTTCCCAGCAAACATCAACTGCTGCTCCTCACATGAAATTCCTATACATGATAAACAACGATCACACACGTACTTACACCGCTAATTAAAAGAACATTCAGAAAGCTTAGATATAGAAAAAATAGATGGATTGATGAAGGATTTTATCAGAACACATTATATATATATATTCACCTTCCTTGTCTTGGATTTTAGCCTTGACATCGTCAATGGTGTAGCTACTCTCGACCTCCAGAACTAACGTCTTCTCCGTCAGAGTTTTCACGAAGATCTGCTTCATTTTTTCTCTGGTTTCTCGATCGTTCCAAGCTCTCTCTGTTTTGTAATACGCTTGATTGCAGGGAACTAATAGGGGGTTTTATAGGACCAGTAGTAATGTCTCATGACGTGCTGGCCAAGTGTTTTCATTTTTGTTGGTTTGAAAAATGAAGAGAAAGGAATAATATGCGTGCTGGTCAAGTAGACGTGCAACCGCTACTTCTCACAGATGGACCAGTTTCGCGACTCATAGCGGTTTTTGTATGTTATAGTATTATTGTAGGTTGTTTTCATAATACGATAGTAATAACTAATACATGAGGGGTATATACGGGTGAACAAAAAACCCAAAAAACCAAAACCGATTGACAACCCCATCGAAATCGAACCGACCAAAATCAAAATTGGTTAAAACTGAAACCGACTAATTAAGGATTGACCATTAGTAGTTCGGTTTACTATTTCACCTTTAATTGGTTAAAAAATCGATCAAACAGAAACCACTCGACAAAAAAAATCGACAAACATATGCTAAAACTGAGCGAATCCGACAAAGTTGGTCAAAATTGAGCCAACCTAACTCAAACTGAATCCGACTCAAGTAGTGCAGTTCGGTTTATGTTTTCACCTTTTTCAAAATCGAAACCAATAAAACCAAAATCGACGAAACTGAACCGACGAACAACCCTAGGGGTATATGATATACTGTAGATCAGATGCTTCTAATTGGACTGAAATTTTCTAATTTTATCTAGTCTGACCGCGTTTGGTCTGAATTCGTCCGATCTTGTAGACGTATGGTCTATGTGTATTTTACAATTATTGAAGTTTGATCTGATGTGATCTGTTTAAGTCCGATCTAAACTGTTCAAGTTTGTTTAAGTCTAATAAGATATACTTCGTATTACACGGTATGATTTGGTGTGGGACAGATACCAGTCAGAGTAATAAAATCATATGTATAAGAATAAGAAATGTTCTTAAGAAATGTTCTCAAGCTATAAAAAAAATGAAAAGAGTGCATAAAAGATCCTATATTAGAGGGGAGCAGCTTCTCATCTTGGAAAACTTAGTTCCATATATGTGTGAGAATAATAAACAGGCTTAACCAGACCGGTAGCCCTGAGAGTATATTTATAATGAATAAGTTGCCAAATACAATTTGGAAACTAACTAATAATTAATTGTACCCTATTACACCCTCTCAATCTATGCAGGAGGAACTATGTGTAGATTGTCTTGCAAAAATAAAAACTGTTGAGAAGCCAAACTCGTAGGAACATACTGTACTAAGAGATCATGAGCCACGAACTCCATATTTCTCGTGTCTCTTAAATCGCACCACGCTCTGTTCTAATCCAGAGTAGTATTAGGTATGGTTTCTACTTCATATTTTGATGTTAAAATTAGATTCCAGGAGATTACAATTGCATTTTTTTGTTAAACCTAGAATTAGTGACGTCCAAATCTTATATTATTGGAATTGTTTGAGATTTGGGTATTGTTTGTAGATAGTGGCGTTTGATTTTGAGTGCATTTGAGTCTTGTTTCAGATCTGATGTTAAAATTAGAATTTTCGTAGGTATTATTGTTAAGATTGCAGCTATGTTCTAAGATTATCCCAACTATATTATTATCGGTAGTTTTTTTCCTCTTTTCAAATACTATTTTATTAATTTTCAATGAACTGTCATCTCCTTGGAGGCCTTCATGATACTATGTTCTTCCTAACATCCAGGCACATCTATTATCCAGGTTTATATTTTTTTCATAATGCTATTTTATTTATTTAAATTCTTTTTCAGTTCACCTTATCTATTAATTAGCATGTGTCAGTTTATATAGATTTTGTGTATGTATATGATAATCTCATCATTTTATTATATTTTTGTAGATTCTATATTGTGTCTTATATTGTGTGTAGCTTTAGTTTTGGCTAAATTTGATGTATTATGCAATTAATTATTTCAGCCTTGGTTTAGTTTTCAGACTTATTTTGATTAATTGATTATTCATAACACAAACCATTAATTTATGTCACATCCTCTCTCAGTTGCTTAAGGTGGGAATCTGATAAAAGTTATAATTTTCTCTACTTAATCAATACTTGTTGACGAAGTTAAACACTTGTTTTTGATTTACGGATTCTCATTAGTGATTTTCCCCGGAGTTCTGAGTTTTTGAAGGTTTTTAATGGTTGAGAATGCTGGAATTTGCACTAGCTTTAGAGTTCTAAGGCATGGCAGTTTAACTTTAATGTTTTAGTTTTGGTGAATTTTGTTAAAAAGCAGTTTGAAAGAGTGGGTTTTGACTTCTGAGGCATGGCAGTTTAACTTTAATGTTAAAATTCTAAGGCATCACAGTAAGTCAGTTGCTCCCAATAAGGCAGTTTAAATTTAATGAGAGGAATTTGCATGCTTTTAGTGATTTTTAAAAGAGTTGGTTCCTAGTTTTGGTGTTCATGGTTTAATTTACAGGTCTGCAACTTTAATGTGTTGTCATTTATTAGACTAAGTTGTTATATTTTCATGCCCCGATGTTTCCTCTCCTTTTCAAAAATGAACATTCGGTTTTTAAAAAACCCGAAAAAAAATCAAAACCGAAACCAACCGAATCAAACAAACCGTGGTTGAATTTTTTTATCAAATAAACCAAACCGAACATTTTTCCTTTGGTTATGCGTTCGGTTTTAGGTGAAAACTGAACCAAAGCAACCAAACCCACCCCTGCTATAAACCCTCCTCCAGGTCATACCTCCAATAAGCAAATGAATAATGTCACTCAAACATATTACTTTTGAACCTTCACACTTATAAACATAAGGTGTTATCATCCAAAGAAAGTAAACATATTAGCTTTTAACTAAGCAATCAAAAAATTGAGTAAAATAAAAACGATAACAAAATAAAGGCAAATAATTTATTAAAACTTTTCTAGTAAAATTAAGAGAAAAAATAGATTGGCAAAAAAATTAGCACCTAAAGCTAGTGGAGCAGGGTTGATAAGTACGGTCACTCAAAGCTTTTCAATTTTTCATTACTGCCCTCTTTTGTCTCTAGATTTGTTAGTCACATCTTCTAAATTCCATGATTTTCATCATCCTCACTCATAATTCTACGAAAATTAAAAAAACCAAAAAAAAAAAAATAATAGTCATTAGTCACAATACTCGTAATATTCTTCATTGTTACTTTTAGTTAAATGATAAACAAAGTATTCTTTTTATGAAAGGGAAAAATAAGTACACTAGCTAGCTTCGATTTGGTTCAAATACTATGTATGCTAAATCACTTATTCTTTATTTGACTAGATGTCCAAATCTCCCCCAATAACAGTATATTTGAGACTATCCTTTAGTAAAAATATTTATATGTGAATCAATAACAATATTTTATCTAACTTGGATATACCTTAGTAGTGCTTCATAATTTGATCAAGGTAGAGGTGTTACTAAAATCTCAGGTATTCAGATGGTAAGAAAGTAAATAATAAAAATAACAATAATAATTCCATTATGTGCTCTCCATTTCATAGTACAGATAGCTTCAATACTTGCTCTGTTGTTTGCTTTTCATGTGATGTTGTTTCATTCCATCTATTAATGCAAACAATAATAGTTTTTGCTAATTTAATCAGTAATTGAGTCTTACAGAAATATTATATATAAATTGTGTTTGTGAGTTTCTTCTTATTGTTGTGCAGTTTTTTTACAGAGTTCATAATGGTTTTGTGTTTGGAAAGTCACACAAGAAGAAAATGAATAGTAGTTGTGCTTGGAAGAAAAAGTCAATATTCTTTGAACTACCGTATTGGAAGTTCAATGAATGTCGACATAACCTAGATGTAATGCACATAGAGAAAAATATATGTGACAGTTTGATCGGAACACTATTGGACATCCCTGGGAAAAGTAAGGATCACACAAAAGCACGGTTGGACCTCATGGAATTAGGTCTTAAAAAAGACCTACAACCTGTTCTTAGTGATGACGGAAAGCATATTATTTTGAAAAAGGCACAATTTTCACTTTCTGCCAAAGAAAAAGAGTTGTTTTGTGTTGCTTTAAAAGGAGTAAAACTACCTTATGGTTGTGGATCACATATTGCGCGTTGTGTACATCTTTTAGAGAAGAAAGTCTCGGGTTATAAGAGTCATGATGCTCATATTATGCTTCACTTCTTGCTCCAGGTGGCAATAAGAAGAACACTGCCCAAGCATGTTGCCATTCCATTAATTAGGCTTGGTTCATTTTTTCAAAAAATTTGCAGTAAAGTTTTTTTACCAGAAGAGCTTGATCAATTGGAGTTAGAAATCAAGGAAGTTTTGTGTGATCTTGAAAACATTTTTTTGCCATGTTTTTTTGACATAATGATCCATTTGCCCATTCATTTGGTAAGAGAAATTAGGCTTGGTGGACCAGTTCCATATCGCTGGATGTATTTTATGGAGCGTTATCTTTGCAAGTTGAAAACATATGTTCGTAATAGAAGTCGTCCAGAGGGTTCTATAGCAGAAGGGTACCTTATCGAAGAATGTTTGACATTTTGCTCTCGCTATTTACATGATGGTTCGAATAGAAAGCTACATAGTGTCTCTAAGGATCTGGATGCCAATACAGACTTCACAATATTTAACGTGACTGGTTATCCACTTGGTGGAGTTAAAAGAAAAAAGGGAAAGCTATTCACCTTAGATGATATCACGTCTAAGCTTGCACATCGTTATGTTTTATTCAACTCAGATGATGAAGAGATAGAAGAGTTGGTCCGGTAAGAGAATGAATGCATCATATCATGCTATTTATACATACTAACTTTATTATCTTAACATATTATATCTTTTTTGTGTATAGAAAACATCAGGATCAAGTGCGTAGAGACAAAAAACGAAGTAGGTGGGCACAAGAATATAATCATAGTCATGAATTCACAAACTGGCTAAAGGATAATATAGCACATTACTCCGTGTCAGACAACTTATTTTGGTTAGCAAAGGGACCATGTCCTAGTGTGAAGAGATATACCGGATATTCTGTGAATGGGTACCACTTTTATACAAAAGATCGTGATGATAGATGCAATACTCAGAATAGTGGAGTAACTGTAACTGCCATGACAAACAGTTTTGCAAGTTCTAAAGACAAGAATCCCATCACTGGTGATGTCGTCTACTACGGTGCAATACTAGATATAATTGAATTAAATTACTGGTCAAAGTTCAAGATTGTGTTGTTCAGATGTGAATGGTACCAAACCGAAAAAGATGAATATGGGCTTACATGTATTAACTCCACAAAATTTTGCTCGTCAGATGATCCATTTGTGATTCCTTCACAAGTACATCAGGTGTTTTATGTGGCAGATCCCGTTTATAATGAGCTATCATACGTTATGGAAAGAGTTCCTAGAGGTTTCTTTGATTCGGAGACACAAATAAATGAAGATGATGAAATTACCTACTGGAAAGAGCCTATAGATCATCGAGCTCAGAATTTCCCATATGTTTCCAGTGATGATATTAATGGAGCCAGAGAAGATCTTGATCCAACTATACTTGATGCTCAAGTTGAGACAGTAAATGTTGGACAATCAAGCACGGGCATCACAAGTGAATCCGAAGAAGAAGAAGAAGACGATGATACACTATGGGATTGGATGCATGCTAGTGATGAAGAGCAATAACTTTATTCTATTTTTCATTGCTTTTTATAACATGTCCATTGATTTTTCCTTGCGTTGTTATTTGTTTGAAACTGTTTCTTAAATGATTTGGGTTATTTATTAATTTATTCTTGTTTTAATTTGAAAAGTTGTATCCCTTTGGTGTATTTTGATGCATTCATTATTTTTTCTTATGAAGTATTACTTTTATGATTGTATGGATCAAAGCATCTCTTTAGACGGTATGTTCACAAGGAGGGTTACTGTTGGGTCCTTCTCTGTTGTAGGTTTTACTTTGTGTGTATGAGTGTTTTCTTTAGATAATGTACTGATACATATAACTTAAAAAGTGTTCCAGCTGATATATCTTATTTGTGATTCACAGAGACATGGACAAAACAAAAAAGCATAATGTGCCAAGGAATTTAGCATCAAAGCGAACATCAACTACATTTGGAGACAATATGTCAGAATATGAGAAACAACGTTTACTCAGAGTTCGTGAGAATAAGGAAATGATGCTCAAATTAAAACTTACTGATATATGTTCTTCACTATCAAGTATGGTGGATAGTCAGAACGGGAGAAAGAGAAAAGAGAATCTGAGGAATGATCCTAATTATGTTCCTACTGCTGAAGAAATTACTTCATTAGAGATGGTTGAAGGTGCAAATGTTCTGAAAAAGGTACACTTTACATATATTTGATGTTATAATGTGTTACTTAAACATAGTAATGGTAATGTTTTCAATTTTGTAGAAAAAGCAACAGTATATCGCACCCCAGTCACTCACTAGAGTTCTAAGGAATAAACAGCCTCAAGGCCTACCAAAAAGTGATTTAAAGGTGCAAAATCAATCTGCAAAAGAAGTCACAACACAGAAGAACAAAAACAAGGGTCCACCCAGAGATGCAGTTATTAATATGGCTGAGTTTTTAAGATACAAATCTCAAGAGGAGAACCACGAACCACAATTATCTCCAGAAAATGAAGGTTCAGTTTTAATACTTTTTCTAGATTCCTATTTTATTGCTTTTGAATTCATAAATATTTAAAGATTCACACATGATAATATAGTGCAAGGACAAATGGATTTTAGTTCATGGGAAGATGATGACATTTTTGATAGCATTGAGTCAGACAGTGCACAAGGTATGAATTTCAAGTTTTATTTTATTGTTAATCAATTATAACCTAAGTACTTTGTGTAGGTGGAAATAAATCTAAAGAAGGGGATGATGATGATGTTATGATGGATCAATTCGTCGAAGAAGACGAGAATGAAGATGATTTTATAGAACACGGTCAATTAATTGGAGATGATGATGATGATGTTGAGGTAAACGGTAATGAAATGCATGAAGGATCAAGTAAGTGCATTTTCTTTTTTTCTTCTAATATTTTATGGTTTCTCTTCTTCTTCTTCTTCTTCTTGGCATTAAAAATTGCATTATTCAGTTAATTTTCATCAATATATTTGTTTCCTTGATAAAAATTTTATGATGTATTTTACAGATGTTGTGGCACACGAAAGAAAAAAAAGAGGTCCTACAATGATGCATGCAGTACACGTGAGAGAACATCGTATATCCATCATATTAAATAAATTTGGACAACCTATTGGGCCCGATAAAGCCACACTGGATCAGTTTTCATCATTTTTGGGAACGGTGGCTCGTCATTATGCCTTTGCTCCACTAGTTACTCCAACGTGGACCCGTGTAGAAAACAAAAACAAGATGTGGGAATATGTATTGGTATGTTATGGTAATAATCAGATATTATAGTATATCAAATTGCATATTACTAACTTCTCACTATTATTCTTTTTTCAGTCAAAATATGATGTCCCCATACATGGAAAAAAATGGGTCTTAAGTACAATGGGGTCTGCATGGAGGGTACACAAGTGTCGATTCAAGGAAAAGTTTTGCAAAACATATAAGGATAATATGACGAGATGGCGCCACCGCCCAAAAGACATTCCCCAAAGTGATTTTCGAGCTCTTTTAAAGCGATGGAATTGTAAAGATTATCAAGTACGTTAAATACATATAAATGCGTATCTCGATTTCCTAATATTTTACACTATTTAATTATGAATAAATATTTTGTTTCTAGGCAAAATGTTCCCGTAACAAGCGCAGTCGTAGTTTCCAGAAGGACAATCACACAGCTGGTCGTGAGTCTTTTGCGAGGATTCGGGAAAGATTGGTATTTAGAGTACATATTTATATATATTGAGTTTTAATTTAAAAGTATACATAACTGTTTTTTTACCCAGGAAACTACCCTTCCAAATTGTAATGACATACCTTTGTCAACTATGTTTGAAGTCACACGTAAAAGGACTGAGGGCCGCAACTACAAAGAGTGTAATGAAGATACTGATGAAAAAGTGGTACGTCTTATGTGGTCTTATACTTTTGAATCATAGTCATTGAAAGACAGTGTGGTGAGTTGTTAGTTTTGATTTTTTTAATCAATTGTGAAGCAGGGTTGTTAATACAGATTTTCATTGCTTAATTGCATATATTCTTAGATGTGATAATTTTTGGTGAAATGCAGTACTTGTATTACAGATTATAGTTTTGATTTTTTAATCAATTGTGAAGCAGGGTTGTTAATATAGATTATCATTGTTTAATTGCATATATTTTTAGATGTGATAATTTTGGGTGAAATGCAGTACTTGTATTACAGAGTATCTACTACAAGGTGTAGCAACTTGTATTTGATGTTGTTATATACAAGGTTACTGTTCTACTAATAAATATTAGATTGGTTATTTTGATCCTATGTGATTGCCTAGATTTTTGAGCTGTTTTGGGGTGTTGAATATTTTGTACTCTTGTATACAGAATGTCGTTTTATAAGTTCTTTACAAACTAGTAAGTGCAGCTTTGTTGCTGCAAATTTGTGCATGCAGTTTCTAAGTGATGTTGCCACTGCAAAATAGTGTAGTTTTTGTGTAGTTTTGAAGTGCAACTTTTAAGTGTAGCTATTAACTTTGCAACTTATATTCCCAGCCATTTTTATTATTTGTAGGCCAAAATGAAGAACTATGAGGCACAGAATAAGGATGAAAGTGGTAGTGCAATAATTGATGGATATTCATTTGTTATGTCAAAAGAGGTTGATGGTCGTCCGATAATGTGTGGCAGAGGTGTGACCAAGAAAGATATCTCCAAAGTGAAAGATAATCCACAATCACATGTTGCGACTCCAAATGACATGGACACCGTAATAAGTGATTTGAGAAAAGAGATTGAATTAGTAAATGAGAAGAAGAATGCTGAAATGGAACAAATGCGCAAGGAACGTGACGCTGAAAAACGAAAGATGGATTTAATTTTGTCAAAACTTGCTACTTTGATTCCAGATCTCGATTCTGCTTTACTTGAACTATAGATTGGTCTGAAAGACACGCCAGACATAGGTAGTTGATTGAACTTCGCAATGTTTGTGAATTCCTATTTGACAGATACCTTATATCTTGTATTCTTGTACTAATTTATTCTTTTTCTCTGTGATGCAGGGAAGCACCATAGACATGGCCAGTGGTGAAGATTGCAGTTTACTAGCGGCACTAGAATTTTATAGATTAGTTGGATATTCTTTTTGTCTATTTTTTGTTGAGCACGTTTGACAATTTTTTTTGGGTACTTCGACATTATGATGGATTATTTGAAGATATTATTAAGTTTTATTTGAATAAAATATTCCTCCAAGGAAAGCTTATAAATGTTGTGATATATTTCAATATAAATATATTTATAAGATTTTGTATTATGCTTGCATGCCGCATAATTTATAAATTGATACTATATATGCTAGTAATTAAAAAAAAGATGCTGATACTTAGAAGTATGTGTGTGTGTGTGTGTATATATATATATATATATTGAAAATGCGTTAAAAAAATAATGTTGCATAATCTTAATAATGATGTTACTTATAAGTCTCTAAAAGTGTTGCATGAAATAAAAAATGTTACCTAATCTTTTCAATTAACCGTTGCATATTGTGAATGAATGTTGCTAAAGTACAAAACCACATGTTACGTAAACCTTATAAAGTGTTGCGTAAAGTAACACTTCAAATGTTGCATTTTACTAGAAAAATGTTGCATAAGATTCAAGGTAAAGTGTTGCAAAAAAGTGTTGCATATGTAATACTTATGCAACACTTCGATACAATGTTACTTATTACAATGAAAAGTGTTGCATGTGACCTTATGCAACGAGATCTGATGCAGCATCCTTGAAAATGTTGCATTAACTATTTTGTAACATTTTATCTATGTAATGTAACATTTTTCACGTGTTACATAATGTTCATTTTGTTGTAGTGAATATACAATGTGGGCGAGAGTACATTACACCACTTAAAGGACAACACTTATAGCATTTTGGATAATTGAGGGGTGACATTTACAATGTCAAAAATACGAGCCTGACATTTCATTTTGGTGACTATTTCAGGGACTAAAGGGGTGTTTGGATCTGATTCTCAAAACTGATTCTGCTCCTTCAGAGAGCAGAAACAGAAGTTGGAGTGTTTGGGTGAAATTCCAGAAACACTTCTGGTGCTCTAATTTACTCTCAGAATCAGTTTTTTTAGAAGTTGGGGGGTACCAGCTTCTGATTCTGATTCTGTTTTTGCTTTAATAAAGAAGCAGAAGCGGAATCAGTTCCAAACACCCCCTAAAAGTGCGATTTTCCCTTACTCATACCAAATTTCAGATAACATTTCAACTGGGAAGATATTCAAATGATTTTCTGAAATGGACTGTGCTCTTCAACTGCGCAGTTATCTTCAAAAATTCATTTGACTACCTTTCCGATTGAATTTTTAGCTGAAATTTGGTATGAATAAACTAGACTTAATGGCGAAGATACTCAACAAATTTCATCAAACAATTCCACAGGGAACCACCCCAAATCGCGACGGCCGGACATAGTTCCTATATTAGGGGTGAATTGCATTTTTTAAGTTAGTTTGATGGCTTATTTGACCATTTAGCCTAAGAATTAATTAATTGACATGCTTCAAGAGGAGCATCTTGCTCCCATCTTGTTACTGATGAATAAGCACTTTTGGTAATTGATCGAATATCTCCTTTCCTGTGCAGCTGAGAGCAATCAAAGCAAAGTCTTTACCCTCATCCAATGCATCATGCCATCATCAAAATCATTTTTGAATGTTTCTAAAGTTAATGTAAGCAACAGTACGAGGAAAGAATAGGTCCGTGTAAATCAGATGCTTACAACAGAAAATAAAAATAAGTGTAGAATTGAAACAACAAAATGTCCATTCCTGCTTTCCTGGAACACCAAAAGCTGAGTAAATTTTCATTTAGACATTGATTGATTATCTAGTATTATTCTAAAAACAAGCAACTTTTGCCAATAGTTGATTTCCCAGTAAAAGGCATAGTTTGAAAACGACATGACATATGAACCTACCATGTAAAAGACCGAAGTTTTGAGTTTTGATGATCACTTGAACACAAAGTATCCATGTGAAATTTTTCATCAAACACTAACTTAATTAGTGATAAAATTAATTGGGAATGGATGTTGTTAAAATCGATCAAAATTGACATTTTTATTGTCTTTTTCATTTAATATTCTATTTTGTCAAGAAAATAATCCGGTATGTTTTAGTTTTCTCTCAACTAGTGTTTTACCCGGGCGTTGCCCCGGGCGGAAGTTGTGAATGTTTGAATACTTTGTAAGATATATATTTTATAGAATATATAAATAATTAATCGTTTTACTTCAAATAAATTTTTGTTGATTGTGAATAGTAATTTAACTAAACAACATATATTAAAAAGTGACATTGTAATGTAACACTGACATACCAAAATCACATTGTTAAGTTAGGTTTAAATTGGGAAACCTCTTTATAAACGACATTCATCGTGTTGGTGAAAAAATTTGTTTGTTTTGAACATATGAATATCTTAAGATATCTTTACGCATTACGTACTCTTGGTATTGCAATGTACAATTGGTCATTAATGAAACTTCTCTTTCAAGGTATAAATCATATTTTATGTGTTATCATTTAACCTTGACCTTTTTTTTGGCAAAATTTAGCCTTGACTTTTATTGATTGTCATTGAAAAACTTACCATCATAAGAAATTGCTTTATTCGAAAATTGAATAAAGTTGTCATATGGTGACAATGAGATTTTTAATATGTAAACTTTATCTTTCATAACTATTCAAATTATGACTTGTCATACTTCTTATTTCAATCTGGTTATGACCAATTACGTTCTATTGAATAAAACTTATGCATGATTAATATTCCTCAGTAACATTATCGGGGGCTCCGATTTTCAAATGAAGGACATGGTTGGGCAATCCAACCATTGAAGCTTTATTAGGATATTCGACATTGTACATATCATGGAAAGTAGTACCGGTGTGTGAAGGAATAATATTAATTGAACTAAGATATGTAACTCCTAGATCATCGATCAACAATAGCATGTAGTTAGTTACTCATGATGTTTCCTGGTGTAACGTCTAAAATCTTAGAACATGCCTCGTGTATCAGCACATCTTCATCCTGCCCTATAATCAAAGACGCGCGCGATATGCAACAATTTTGTCTTCACACTTCCTTGATGAATATTGTAGGTAGTGCGATAATATATATGGAAATAGGAAATTAAATGATGAGTTGGAATTAGCTTTAATAGTAGAAGACGTAGAAGAAATTTATTTAATATATATGACGAATAATAATTACTTGCATTGTGCATTTTCTACAGATTTTTAGACCTCAATGTGCTCTTGTGATTCCATTTATTTAAATAAAATGATACAAAATCAATATATATATATATAATAAACATGTTGATTTTTACACTAATTGCTTGTCCTACTTTGGTTATATTTTATTTATTAATGTATTAGACATTTTTGAAAAATATTGTTCAATCTGTCCCAATTTAAAATTCCAAAACCCTCATTTTTTACTTACAACGAATTATATATATTAATAATGAAAGTATTATGTTGGCAAACATGAAAAAGGAAGTGTTGAAACTAAAAAAGAATGGAGAAAAATCGAAAATGTATAAAAGAGAAACTTTTCGGAAGCAAACAGTTGGCCATGTCATTATTATATACTTCTAATTAAGCCAATTAATTTTTTAAGATGTAATAGAAAATACTAATCCTATAAATTTATGGAGAATATAAAAATATAGATTAATATGATTTATATTTATTTAGGACAATCACACAATATGTATGTACTCACAATTTACTCACTCCCTCCGTTCTGAAAAGATTCATCAAATTGTCTTTTCTTGGTCAATAACAATCAACTTTGACTAATGATATTTTTAATACAAAATTATTTAGAATATGAAAATTATATCAAAATGTCCCTTATTCGAAATATGTTATGCAGGGTGATTCCATTCAATGTCGGCATAAAAATTAAAAAGTGCTTTGTCCCTATATGTGTCCTTGTCTCTTCCACCTCCCCCACCGCACTCTTTTACACCTAACATATAATTTGTTTTTATCCCTTTATCCCTTCAAAATATGTACTTTATAGAAATAGCAATACATAAAAATCTTTTTATATATCTAATAAAAATATATTTTATTGACTTCGTATTGTTATGTGGCCTAATAAATTTTTTCATGTGGGCTAACAAAAATATTTTCATATGAATTGTTACTCATTTTAAATTTAATTTACATTATGTGGGCTAATAAAGTTTTTCAATGCAATTGTGGAAGATGAGGAGTAAAAAGAACGTATTATTCTTAGTCACCTATCATTTGTACCTCTAAAGCTCTAATTGATATTCTCATGTATTCTCAAATATGGAAGGTTTTTGTAAGGCTCTAATTGATATTCTCATGTATTCTCAAATATGGATGGTATTTGTGTTGAGAGCATACGGAATGTAATATTTGACATCAAAAATTTGTTTTGTATTGAACATCTTCCCTTTTTGATACTTCAACACTTTAATGAGCTCATTAATTAATTTTGGAATGTAACTGCCATATTAACATATAGAATAACATGATTTACATAACTTGCCTTAAGATTATATTACTTGCAAATGTGGTCTGAATTAATTGGACTCAATAGCAATATGTAAATTCATAATTGTACTCAATAACAAATAGTTGAAAATTCAATTTCAATTTCAAGGTTCAACTTTATTAATAAGGAAGTAGATAATTAAGAAACCTCTTCTTGCATAGGAATGCACCCGGTTCTCGTACCCGAACCACATCATGAAAGGTATCGCAAGTACATCATATTTTCTAGGGAAAAGGTGCAAATAGGCCCATGTACTCACCAAAAAAGGTCAAATAAGCCCTTATTTAGGAAGTTCTGTCCGGCCGTCGTCATTTCGGGTGGTTCCCGGTGGATTTTTTTGATGAAATTTTTTGAGCATCTTATTCATCAAGTCTAGTTTGCTCATACCAAATTTCAGCTAAAACTTCAATCGGGAAGGCATTCAAATGAATTCTTGAAGATAATTGCGATTCTAACTGCGCAGTTATTTTCAAGAATTCATTTGAATGCTTTCCCGATTGAAGTTTTAGCTGAAATTTGGTATGAGTAAACTAGACTTCATGAATAAGATGCTCAAAAAATTTCATCAAAAATTTCCACCGGGAACCACTCCAAATGGCGACGGCCGGACAAAGCCTCCTAAATAAGGGCTTATTTGACCCTTTTTGGTTAGTACATGGGTCTATTTGCACCTTTTCCCTATTTTCTATCAAAGACTAGACTAGAATGAGATAAAATTAGGATAAGGTAGTTTCATCAACGATTCCTTCACAAACCACCCCGTTTTGGTTTTTAAAAAAGGACCAAGAAACGATCTAAACTAGCTTAGGACGTATATACTCGGTTAAGAAACCGAAACTGAAAATGCAAATAATATAAAACCAAGTGTCAATATGTCTATAATATACGATGTATGTGCTAAGAAACAAAACATGTGAACCTTGGCACACATAAACATGGTGGCATGAGCAAACTCCATCCAATGGTGTGACCTGGAACTTTATTTGAGGAGATCATTGGTAAGCTGGTATATTTCCTTTCCTATTTGATGAAGATCTCTAGTCCACTATACGTAGAAGTGAACTAGAAGATTTACAATCCATTGCATATACGTAGTACTCCGTAGAATTTAGAAAAACTCACTTCCAAGAAAAACTTTTGCTCAAACATCAAAATTCAAACTACTCTAGGAATCAATGATACATTCATATTGAATATCTAGGAGTAGAAGTGAACATCACTTCTACATAAACATTTGATGGGAACTCAAAATACTTGAGGATTTGGAAAGGCAAATGCAGGAGGAAGAAACAAGGATTGTCACAGGAATGAAAAGAGAAGTAGCAAGGTAGATGGTTACTTTGTCATTCCAATTCTAGAAAAGTAGTGTTGATTATAAATTAATTACCGGAGTACTTGATTAATTAATAATCTAAATAAAGAGGTGTTGATGTAATTAGTTATTCAACAAGAACTCATCGATCTGTTTTATTTGTTTATTTATTCATTGCATACATGTAAATTTACCTTTGTTACTTCCTCCTGTTTATATACACTCTGAGCTCAAATGTTTATGTTGAAAAATGAAAACGGAACAATTTTTTCTAAATTTATATGAAAATAGTGACTGTTTTTACATTGACTGTCCTTTTTGTCTCCAGAAAGAGAAACAGAATAGCAACTAGCAAAGTGTATACAAAATTAGAAATCAACTACTTTATGTATACTCCCAAGTCGATGTTTACCAAAGTGTACTCAGACATGCCACTACTTCCTTGGTCTCAACTGCAACAAGTCAAAAAGTGGTTTTGGTTTGAGAAGCAGAGAATTAACTATTATTAGTTCATAACAGTAATTATACTAAAATTTGAGAATGATAAAAAATGAAAATGTTCCAAATAGAACTAAAACACGGATGGGCAAAATGGAGATATGGGAGTAACTATCTATCATTTTGTCCACGTTTTAGTTTTATTTAAAGAATTCTCTCTAATATAAACCTGACTGCTATGACCACATTTCTTCTTCCGGCAGTTCGTGGCTCTTGGGGGAAGACGAGCATAGCATCTTCAAAGTGAACAACATAATATCAGCATAGATTCAGGGAAATAGAAGAGATAATGGGCAAGAAAATCATATTAAATCAAGAAGATGAAGATGAGGCATACTTGCAGCAAATCATCTTGTCCAGATTGTGTTTGTAAGCCAAAGCCTTCAGTGATGGCTCCACTCTCCAATCGCCCCAAAATCGCCTAATGGTTCGGCGCCCTCCCCCTCTCAGGCTCAACACTAGATGAAGTGTTGCTTCTGCATCAATACAACAAGGGCAAATGAATGAAGATGACTCGGAATAGCAGGTTATCAACCGGTCGGGGACCAATGAATGAAGATGAGGTGCAAAGGTTAGATTATTCATGAATAACGAAAAGGTCGGACTATTAAAAGAAGACCGCTAAAAGGTTGGATTATTAATTTCCATTTTCCCTTTTATTATCTAAATCAATAAGATCAGATCACCAATGTTAATTTTTTCTCTAAGCTAATTATAACACTTCAATTCTAATCTATTTATACACATTAATCATGTTTAAGTTAAACATGATTAATGTGACTGATCCAATGGATACCCGCACCGAACCGCCCCGGTCAAAATGGGGAAAACCGCATTGACCGGGTAACGGGTATGGGGCGGGGAATACCCGTTTTGTTTTTACGGGTAACAGGGCGGTTACGGTTTTATACATGCCCGCCCCATTACCCGCCCCGTTTATTTTAGTTATATTTTTATTACATTTTTATCTATTATTTGTCCCATGAGTAATAGAAGATGAGATTTTTCTATTTTCATTGAGTATATGGATAATAGATGTACTAACTATAATGTTTCCATGAGAGTTCATATAGATCTTAATAGTCTTGTTTGATTATTATCAGATTTTTAGTGAATAATTATTTTTTTAGATTAAGTTTTTTAGGTTCAAATCAATTTACGTTGTCTTCTTTCTCGTCTTGTAGATATACAAAACTTTAAAGGGGCGTCTCATTCTCGAGTTATCTAGGTGATGCCATTTTTTCGCCTTTAAAAATATTATTTTTATATTAAAATATCAATGACTCAGTTAATAAAGCGATTACCCGCGGTTATACCCGTTACCCGTTGGGGCGGATACGGTTTGGGTAAAAATTACCCGTTGGGTAATGGTGCGGTTATGGGGCGGAGAATTATCAAATGGGGCGGGTACGGTTATATGTAAAACCGTCCCCGAACCGCCCCGTTGCCATCCCTATGTTTAACTCTTATTTATGGTAATTTATTTTCAAGTAACGCATACTTTTCCGGTTCTTCTGTGTTGCAATATTTCCATTTACTTCGAAATTAGTACGTAGTAGAAAATAAAAAAGATAATCAGAATGTGAATTTAAACTGTAAGGAATTTAACAAGAATTTTGGATGGAAAAGAACAAATGAATTAACACGCATTTGAATGAAAATAAACAGAGCAATTATGAGTTCTATCTATCTATAATTGAACAACCTTTTTCGATGTTGTAGTGAGCCAAGGTTCTTCCATCTTCAAGTTGTTTCCCAGCAAACATCAACTGCTGCTCCTCACATGGAATTCCTATACACAAACAACGATCATACACTTACACAACTAAATAAAACGATAGAACATTTGAAACGTCTTCTCCGCCAGATCAGACACAACTTTCAGAAAGCTTAGCTAGAGAAAAATAGATGGATTGATGAACAATTTTATCAGAACACATTATATATATATATATATATATATATATATATATATATATATATATATATATATATATATATATATATATATATATATATATATATATATAGAGTGCTCTTCATGTCAGGCCGGCCTGACAGGCTGCCCCGTCCGGCCGAGCCCGTTTGGGCACCTTCCCGGTGGAATTTTTGATGAAATTTTTTGAGCATGTTCCTCGTCAAGTCTAGTTTGTCCATACCAAATTTCAGTTCAAAATTCGATCGGGAAGGTCGTCAAATGATTTTTGCAAGTTAACTGGTCCGGAAAATACATATTCCGGACCAGTTAACTTGTAAAAATCATTTGACGACCTTCCCGGTTGAATTTTGAACTGAAATTTGGTATGGACAAACTAGACTTGATGAGGAACATGCTCAAAAAATTTCATCAAAAAATTGAACGGGCTCGGCCGGACGGGGCAGCCTGTCAGGCCGGCCTGACATGAAGTTTTCTCTATATATATATATATATATATATACTACGTATATATATATATATATTCATATATGCACCTTCCTTGTCTTGGATTTTAGCCTTGACATCGTCAATGGTGTAGCTACTCTCGACCTCGAGAACTAACGTCTTCTCCGACAGAGTTTTCACGAAGATCTGCTTCATTTTTTCTCTGGTTTCTCGATCGATCGTTCCAAGTTCTGTCTCTGTTTTGTAATACGCTCTGCAGGGAACTAATAGGGTTTTTTATGGGACCAGTAATGTCCCTTGACGTCATGACGTGCTAGCCAAGTGTTTTCATTTTTGCTTGTTTGAGAAAATGAAGAAGAGAAAGGGAAAATATGCGTGTTGGGCAAGTAAACGTGCAACCGCTACTTCTCACAAATGGACCAGTTTCACCTTTTAGTGTGGGTATTAAAGGGCTGGCTGGATTCTCGGTGTAGGGACATTTCTGTAATTTAGCTTCAGCTACAGACCGTTTAATTTCCTATCTCTATATTTGCAAAAGAGAGTTTTGGAAAGTATGTTATTATAAGAGCATCTCCAATGGTAAAATGTGCACGGTGCACACGTGGCATGAGAAATAACCACATAAATATTAGTAAATAAATTCTTTCTCTCCTTATTTGAATGATTTTATATAGTTTTGGTAAGTTTTTCTCCACAATGTCAAGGAGACCGTCTAGATGTTGACATTGTTGTTGACATTGCAGGGAAAAACTTACCAAAATTGTATAAAATCATTCAAATAAGGAGAAATATTATTTATTTGCTAATATTTATGTGGCTACGATGCATGCCACGTGTGCACCGTGCACATTATAGCATTGAAGATGCTCTAACTATTATGGTTACTGTTGTATAGTGAGCCCGTTTGGTAGCACGAAAATCGGCTGATTTAGTTGATTCTGCCGAAATTTATGAAGTTCTGGTTGAAGTGGCTGCATTGGCTGATTCGACTGATTTAAGAAGAAAAAAATTCTTAAAATATATTTTATTAATAAAATAAAGAAAAAATTATATGTAAAAATAGTTAAAATGGTTATCTACGGTAACTACAGCCAATAAAGTCACACAAGTAACTTCAACCTTACTTTTTCTGCTTATTACACATTAATTCAGCGTGCGAAAACAAAAATAACGTGTGTTGGGGTATGTTACCCCGGCCTACTACTGTTTAGAGGCCCAATACACCGCCCCAGTACGGGGCCCAGTCAGCGAGGCCTATTTTGGCTCGCCCGGCCCATTTAGGCCTGCTTCGGCCCGTTAGGCCCGTTAGGCCCTTTGGCAAACCCCTCCCCCATTTCCTATAAATAGGGAGGAGGGCTTTCATTTGAGGGGGGGGGGGGGGCTTTCTCTCTCCCAGGAGATCTTCTTCTACACTGTTTCTTCTTCATCTTTATAGTTTAGTTATTCAAGCTCCATTAATGGAGGGACTACTTTTGTATATTTATTCACTTTTATAACAAATTCATCGTCCCTAATATCCAAAGTTTATGTTGGGCTTTCGGATCTACGGGACAAAAACTCAACAACGTGTTTGGTGAAAAAGTTGGATTATAAACTTGATAAGTCGAAAAACAGTGTTGTCAAACGACCTCAGTATTATTTACATTATATTATCATTGGTGGTGTTGTTGTTGTTGTCATCATATCATTTGTAGGTTATTATAAGTATAACAGCGTAGTTCTTGCTTAAAAATAAAGTTATTACACTATTATTATTATTTGTATGTTATTATTGTAGGTTGTTCTATCGATCAAAATCGAACCGATCAAAACCAAGATCGAAATACTAAACCCGACTGGCAAACCGATCGAAATCGAACCGACCAAAACCAAAATCGGCTAAAACCGAAACCGACTAAAACCGATTAATCATTGGTGGTTCGGTTTACGGTTTCACCTTTTGGGTTAAAAAATCGACCGAACCAAAACCGATCGATAAAAACCGACAAAAACATGCTAAAATGAGCGAACCCAAACCGAAACTGACTCAAGTAGTGTGGTTCAGTTTACGGTTTCACCTTTTCCAAAACCCGAACCTATAAAACCAAACCGATGAAACTGAATTGATGAACAGTCCTAGGGTTACATGATATAATGTAGATGCTTCTAATTGGAATGGAGTTTTCTAATTTATTTACTCTGAACTCGTCTGAACTGAATTAGTCCGTCCGGTAGACGTGTGGTCTACATATATTTTACAATTATTGAGAATATAATAATTGTTTTAACTTTGCATTTAAGTTAAATCACGACATGCTAAATCAGTATATAATTGTTTTCTAAGAGCATCTCCAATGCTATAATGTGCACGGTGCACAAGTGGCATGCGTCATAGCCACATAAATATTAACAAATAAATAATCTCTCTCCTTATTTGAATAATTTTACACTATTTTGGTAAGTTTTTCCCTGCAATGTCAACAACAATGTCAACATCTAGATGGTCTCCTTGACATTGTGGAGAAAAACTTACCAAAACTATATAAAATCATTCAAATAAGGAGAGAAAGAATTTATTTACTAATATTTATGTGGTTATTTCTCATGTCATGTGTGCACTATGCACATTTTACCATTGGAGATTCTCTAACTTTCATTTTCTTCCTCTCTCTTTCATTTATATTTTATTTGTTTTAACTTTGCATTTTACATATCTAATACAATGTAATATAATTATTTTGTGGTGAAATAATTACACATTTACACTTCCAAAATAGGGTGGGCACCACTTGGTGATGGAGATTTTTTTATTAATTATTAAAAATTTGAAGATAATATTAAAAACATAAAAGTTGAGGGGAGCTAAAATTTTAGTAGGTAAATTTTAATGAACTAAAAAGGTTGGGAGGGGCCAAATCCCCTTGGTTAACACACACCTCCGCCCCTGTTCACGAGCTCTAAGGCGGCCATAAATGGTCGTGACTTCCATACCTGGAGCAGGGATGACAACATAAAAAGTTATAAACACTTCTGGCCCCCTTTCATTAGATCATGGCCCCTTCCCTGCTCGTGAGAGAGATGAACGACTCAGAGTATGGGTCTTATTACTAATAGCCTAATATATTTAGGAATTTGCCTAATATATATTTAGGAATTTACCTAATACTTCGTATATATTTAAGAATATTTTGTATTTTGGAAACCCTTCTATTGTAAATATATCTGTCGGGACTCCTATTGGAGTACCCTTTTCGTTGCAGCACCTCCTGCCTTGCTCTCTCGTTCGCTCCGCCGCTTTGTTGGTCACCCTCGCATCTCAACTAACTGTTATAGTAGCTCGATGGTCTTCATCCGCCATTAATGACTGCCTGAGAGCTCTCCGCTCACGACTGAGGCAGCATCAACATCGAGGGTTTCTTCTCCCTCAATCACAAAAAACAAATATACCAGGATCAAACTAGATTTAATCCCCTCTTCGTCGTCATCAGACAGCGGCCATCTCAGATGGTGATTAATTCCTCACGACCACTGAGATTTCATCTTTGAAAGGGACGGCACGATATGTTAAGTCCGGTATACCGAAATTTCGGTATTTTTTCCCACCCCTAGAGATATGGGAGTAACTATCTATCATTTTGTCCACATTTTAGTTTTATTTAAAGAATTCTCTCTAATATAAACCTGACTGCTATGACCACATTTCTTCTTCCGGCAGTTCGTGGCTCTTGGGGGCAGACGAGCATAGCATCTTCAAAGTGAACAACATAATATCAGCAAATGATACGCAAATAAGTCGATTCAGGGAAATAGAAGAGATAATGGGCAAGAAAATCATATTGAGGACAAATTAAATTTAGAAGATGAACATGAGGCATACTTGCAGCAAATCATCTTGTCCAGATTGTGTTTGTAAGCCAAAGCCTTCAGTGATGGCTCCACTCTCCAATCGCCCCAAAATCGCCTAATGGTTCGGCGCCCTCCCCCTCTCAGGCTCAGCACAAGATGAAGCGTTGCTTCTGTAGCAATACAACAAGGGCAAATCTCATACTACATATTTTATTATCTAAATAAGATCAGATCACCTTTGTTAATTTTTTCTCTAAGCTAATTAAAACACTTCAATTCTAATCTATTTATGCACATTAATCATGTTTAACTCTTATTTGTGGTAATTTATTTTCAGGTAACACATACTTTTCTGGTTCTTCTTTGTTGCAATATTTCCATTTATAGTAATTTATTTTAATCATTAATACATTTACTTCGATGACAAGAGCTTTGGAAGACAAGATCAGGCCACTGTCATTCACTAGGCTGCAAAACATTTAATTTTGAAATGATACTGAATTGAAAGTTTAAAACTACAAATCTAATGGAATAGAGATTTGTGCACATCTCAACTGCAGCCTGCTACATTCCCTTTTATTTATTCCTTCTTATCTCACATTGGTCATGAGAATAGGGATCCATCTATGCAATACTAAACCTTGACATACGCGCTTTATATAGGGGTGAGAAAAGTGGCAAATTATACCGTGGTACCGGCATACCATGAGGATGGTATGCATGTATCACATATGGCACCATATATCTTTCTAATAGGAGCACTATGTGTGTTTTTTTTCTTTTCCCAAATTCCATTAAGTCCACCCACTTTCTTTTCTCTCAAGTCATCCAATGCTCCACGTATGCTATTTCTTTCTCTTTACTTTTCTTTTATTTTCTTGAATTCTTTTTTCATCTCCATCAAAATACTAAAAATATTAATTGTGATTTTGCTTATCTTTATTTTGAACTAATTTAATTATAACTGATCAATTAACTTCTTTTAAAAAAATTATTACAAAACTTTATTAATCCACATAAAATAAGTTTGTTGCATTAATAATCATACACTACTTTTGCCCCAAAAAAATCATACACTACTTTTTTACTTTTTTTCATCAATTGAAATTACTATTGAATTTATACTCCCTCCGGTTTTTAATAAACTTCACACTTTCCTTTTTGGGACGGTCTAAAATAAACTTCACACTTCCTTATTTCCTTTTTTGGCAAAAAAATCTACATCAAAACAGTGCCAAACCGTGCCAAACAGTGTCTCAACAGTGCCTAACAGTGTCTCTACAGTGCCAAACAGTGTCAAACAGTGCCTCAACAGTGTACTCTACAGTAAAGTCAAATTTCTTTCCTTATTTTGTGTGAAGTCAAACTGTGAAGTTTATTAAAAACCGGAGGTAGTATTTTT